GTTGGGTTTAAGTCGTTCGGCTTAAACCGTTTAGTACTCACGCTATAGATGGATGATGTCGAGTTCGAAGGCTGATCATTCAAGACATATAAACCATTAACTAGATAACCATTATCGTAGTAAATATCGTCTCGATAAATCATCAAACTCGAGTTCTCAATCCCAAATCGAAAACCATCCAAATCCAGACAAGAAATAGAAGTAATGTTTCTGCTAATCGCAGGAACATAGTAACAATTACTAAGCTCTAAAATAAGTCCAGAAGGAAGATGCAAATCATAAATGCCAACACACAATGCAGCAACTCTTGCTCCATTTCCGACGCGTAGATCCGCTTCTCCCTTATCTAGCATCCTACTTCTTCTTAGTCCCTGCACATTTCCACAAATGTGTGAGGCACTTCCGGTATCCAATACCCACGAAGATATAGTACAGATGTTAGCTTCTATAACATGAATACCTGAGGCAGAAGCTTCACCAAGCTTCTTATCCTCCAGATCCTCCAAATAAAGGTGACAATTACGCTTCCAGTGTCCAGACACTCCGCATTAATGACAGTCACCCTTATCGGGTTTAGGCTTGGGCGTAGAGGCAACTTTTGCCTTTTTCGCCGCCTTCTTTTTGGCTTTTCCCCGCCGCTTCTTGCTGGGGTTGTTCTCAACAACAAGCACAGTCTTGGGCACCACGATATCCTACTCGGCCGATTTCAGCATCCCATGCAGTTCGGCTAAGCTCTTAGTCATCCCGTGCATATGGTACTGCATCACGAACTGGTTATAGTCCTCGGGCAATGACATTAGGATCAAGTTTGCAACCAAGTCACCATCGAGTGTCACTCCCACGTGCTCAAGTTCCTCAACATGAGCTTGCATGTTAAGGACATGAGTGTTGATAGAGCTGCCTCTCGGCATCTCCGTCTTCACTAGAGCTTTTAGCGTCTTGTACTTTTCAGTACGCGCTAGCTCCTGAAACATGGTCTTGAGCTGATTGATCATATCAAAAAA